GGTCCTAACACTTTTCTCTTCCATCCAAGCTCTTGTTCTCTGCGTACTGTTTCTTCATCCCCAGATCCTGGTTCTTCTGTTTTATTTATTTCAATGGGAATACAGGCCCTGTAACACGCCTCCTCATACAGAAAGTGGTTTTCTTTTCTTCTGCACCCCCCATACACAAAGCGTTCACAGAGTCCTGAGCTGACGTTGAAGAACCACCTGAACATCCTGGCCCTGCAAGGACCAGTGGAGGGAGGCTCCAGGCAGAAGGCAGGAATTTCTGCAGGAAGCAGAGGACAGTAGGTTACGTGGATGCTCTCCCATGTGGCATGTACAGTGAGCAAACTAAACAAATGTGGTGTCTGGCAAGAGAGGCAGTAAAACTACAGGAAAGAAGCAAGGGGAAAGCTCATTTAATGGACAATTTTCTGGGGCCTCACTGCATTATAATTCAATTTGTTAGGAGTGACAATGACACAGTGATAAATACATAGTTATCTTGAATGAATTCACTGGCATGATGCTTGACTAGGGTTAATTATTAGAAGTGCAAAAACAGTGGACTCACAGGTAAAAGTCACTCTCGGGATGTTGGTAACTGTCCAGGCTGCATGACCCAATGCTGTGCTTAGTGGATGTCTGTCCCGGGAGGAGCCAGCAGCTGGTTCAGTGGGTGGCCCGTGAATGAACCAATTATACACATGTTGTGCAGCCTCCAGAAAGACCCAAAATGGCAGGACTTGAAGAGTTTCCAGGGTGAGATCAGTGGGGGTTTAGGGGTTCCTATGTTCTGGAGAGGGTCTTAGAGCTCCTCATTCTGGGGGTTTGGGGGTTCCTATGTCCTGGAGAGGGTCTTAGAGCTCCTCATTCTTTCCCTGGAGGTTGCTCAGGGCATCGCTTCCAGAGGGCTGGTCCTGAGTTATATCATGCCATAATCTACCAATAACTAATGAGTTGAATTTCCCTGAGTTCTATTGTCCACTCTTGGATATTATTTAACCCTGTGGTGGGTTGGCCTCTCGGCAGTCCCTGATGTAGCCATTCGGTCACACAGTGGACATCAATCATAGTATGCTGAGAACTGGTGTGGACAAAACCAAAGAAAGCATTGAAGGGTAATTCCTAATTACATTTTTATATTCTTTTACTGGTTATAAGTATAGATTTCTTTTGTAATTCAAAAAGTAAAGAATGACGTAATGGCGGAAACCCTGGTAGTCAGGCCCTCCTGGTGGCTCAGTGGGTTAAAGTGCAGCACTGTGAGGCTAGCTATAGCCGCTTCAGTGCGAGCTCCATTCCCGGCCAGGATGTTGACCCACATGGTGCAGCAGACCTCTCCTGACCCGCCCGCTGCTCTCCTCAGCAGTGTACTTCCTCATTCAGCCTGTTCTGCTTCCCACTGGTGAATCTTCTCACCGCCCCTGCACCTCTGGCCTGTACCTAGTTCTGTATGTACAAATAAATAAATCTTTAAAAAAGAAAGACACCCTGGTACTAAAGGCCAGATTGTAGGAGAACAACAAATTCAATTCGTCTGTACAGGAGACACAAGCTCAGGTGCAAGCGTAAAATGGAGACTTCTGTGCCACCCTGACCTACGGAATGGGGGGTGGGGGAGGAGGGAGAATGCTGGGCTTCACAAAGAGGAGCACAGCTCCCAGGAGGAGAGCAGATGTTTGGTGATGGGTGCTTGTTCGGCCCTGCAGGTGGGTCATCTGATAAAAGGCTCACTCACTTTCCAGACCAGTGGTGAGTCAGCTTGTCTTACTCTCAGGTAGGATGCTGGCTGTGCCAGACAGGTAATATCTTGCCTCCAGGGAAGAGATGGTGGAGGGGCAAGAGAGGTAAGAGAGTGACTAATAGCTTGGTGATGTGGGTTACAGACTTACTCCGGCGAGTCTGATAAAGCAGTGGGAAAGACCCTAGAGCCCACCAACATGTTTGTGGGGCCAGTGGAACATAATGAGAAAAACATTCCCTGTGCAGGGTTCTTAACTCACAGTGCGGCTGCATTTGCTCTCTGCCTGGGTGCGTGATAAGAAACACAGGTGCTTTTTTTTTTTTTTTAAACTGTTTCATAATCTTTTTTTCATTCTTATTTGAATAGGTATCAAAGTGTATGTAACCATAGGAAATGGTCATCCACATGTTTTTCTTGTCTGTTCATGCCTAGTCCAGAATAAGCTTCTTTTGTTCTTAAGAAAAAAATCTATTTTTATAGCTCTATACCTCAGCCAGACTATCTAAATTTTTTTTTAAAGATTTATTTATTTGTGCATACAGAACTGGGGTACAGGCCAGAGGCTCAGGGGCGGTGAGAGGCTTCACCAGAGACAGAGTGGGGAGCAGAACAGGCAGATAGACGAAGTACACTGCTGAGGGGAGCAGCGGGCGGGTCAGGAGAGGTCTGCCACGCCATGTTGTCATCTCCAGGGCAGGCGGGAATCGAACTCATGCGGAAGTGGCTTTAGATTCTCAGTGCTGTGCTTTAACCCGCTGCGCCACCAGGGAGGGCCTATTGTAAAGTTTTTATTGCTCATATTTTGTATAGAATAAACAGAGTGTATGCCGGGGGTGCAGGGGGGTGAGAGGACTCAGCCCCCCCACCCCCCAGAGCAGAACAGGCAGATCTGCTGAAGTACACTGCTGAGGGGAGCAGCGGGCAAGACAGGAGAGGTCTGCCGGCCATGTGGGTCACACCCTGGCTATCCTCAGAGGGAGCACTGAGACTGGACCCCTGGGCCTCCAGGGTAGCCCGCTGGTCTAAATTCTTTAGGGGTTGAGGAGAGAGGTCTTATTTCTCCGCTGTGTGTTCTCCTTGCCTCTGGCCATCATAACCCTCATACCAAAGGGGCATATTTGAGCACAGCATGTTCTGAATTTCTTAAGGATAAAACTCAGGAACAGTCAAAGAAAGAGATAATTAAAGGTGGTGTTAAGCATGGAGACATTGAGATTCCATCCCCATCTGTCAAACCACTCTCACAGAATCTCAATATTTCACCAAAACGAATCTCCCTAGTACAGGGTTTTACTGAGGCTTCACAAGGCATGAGGGGTCAGACCAGGGCTGCTGGTGACTGGACCCAATCTCCACTCTCTACCTCCTTCCTGGGAGGCGCATTTGAGTTTGAACTCTCCCATGACCTGACGCTCACATGAAGCTACCCAGGGCCTGTAGCGCGCCAGCACATCAGCAAGAAGCAGTAAATTCCCAGAGGCCAGGTCCAGGATCCGAACAAAGATAAAATCTCTATTTGTTCACGACACCACAACCAAGTCCAGGGGAGAGGTCAAGTCTGGGAGTCAGGTCTCAGAAATGGGATCTGGAAATGGTGGAGGCTTTGTTAGAGAGATGAACCTTGCAAAGCCGAAAACAATGATTTCTATTTTGGGTCATCAAATACCCTCGGAGCTAAACTTTCCACTTCCCAGGAGAAATTCATAGAGATGTGGTATCCCCCACACGCCCATGTCTGCTCCCAGACACCCCTCATTTACCGTCCAGACCTGCAGAGGGGAGCCAGCACTCACCAAACTCACGGGTGCGGGTTTCATAGCCCTGCGTGACGGTCAGCACTGCGGTCAGGAGGACGAGAAGCGCGGTGGACAGTTCGGAGGGCCTCATCTTCGCGGCCAGGACGGCTGTTCCTGAGGAGACCTGGGGGACAGCTTTTCAAGCGCCCAGCGCGGGGTGGGGACAGAGGCCCTGAGGAGGGGCCTGCGGAAGGGGAGGAGCTGAGGTCCGTGCTGGGCTTGGCTTCATCTCCCACCTCTGGGCCTTCCAGGTCTGCACCAGGGGCCAAAATACTCAACCATAGAATTTTCAAGCTATATTTTTCCTTGTGAAATGTACATTGTGTGTTCTAAGGCCTGGGGTGAGGGCCGAGAGGCTGCCTTTCTTTTTTTTCTTCTTCTTTTTTTTTTTTTTTGTTTTTAAAGATTTATTTATTTGTGCATATGCATACAGAACTGGGGTACAAGCCAGAGGTACAGGGGCGGTGAGCAGTGGGTGAAACAGAAGAGGTCTGCCCGCCATGTGGGTCAGCTCCGGGGTCGGGGATTGAACTCACACTGAGGTGGCCTCCCCCCCCCATGTCCATTCTAACCTCTCACAGCCCATCCTCCACAAGCAACTGGTGTGAGCACCTAACAAGTCAGTTCACTACCAAAGGGCTGGCCACACTGACATGAGGACACATATATGGGTAACACATTGTGAAAGACCCACATGTGGGCCAGTGATGACAGTGTCACTAAGAACTGGAGCCTGGAGCCCTTTTTTTTTACATCAGACTTTCAGCCAGAAGCGAGGAAATCTATGCAGATTAGATCTCATTATTCCTTAGCTGCCCATCCCATCTAGAACAAAACCTTCGGGTCCTTGTCTAGGTAACCTTGCTTACCTGCCCACGCCTCCTCCTGCCAATGTCCAAGCATACCTGTGAGCTCCCACCATCCTGCGTGGCGGCGAGGCTTCAGACTATACAGCAAGAGAAAGCCCTTGCTTCCGCCTCGACATGCTCACAGTGACTGGGAAGGGAAGCCCTTTTGTTAATTTCCAGAAATATAAAGCCAGAGCACTAAACTCAATGAAGATGCAGAGGAATGCACCCCGGGACCACGACAGAGTCCATTGTCTGTGGGTAGAGACTAGTGGGCTGAGCGTGCGTGGAGTCTATTTAGCTGCCCACTCGGTGATAATTCACTAATGACTCGTTCAGAGCTTGCTGGGCCAAGCTTACTGTGTGTGAAGAAGCTGTGAAGATATTGGGTGATCGCTGCTGGCCCGCCACGGTCCCAGAAAGGGACAGAGCACGCATGCCTAGCATGCAGGGGACAGAGTTGTGAGCCAGTGACCTCAGGGGAGAGGAAATTTGGGAGATAAAAATGAATGGTAAGTTGTGATTAACAGTAAGTGGACACAGAGAGGTGTTTGGTTTTTCTTGTCTCATCTGCTGAATTGGCCTGAGCCGCTGATGAAATCTCTAGGTGCAGCTGTGTGTAAGCAGTCTCCTAACAAAAATTGTTAGTAGTCATATTTGGGAAACCCTAAACTCAGACCATAGAAACTGTTTCCAGTGTCAGTCAAAGTTAATCCTCCTTAATCATCCGGAGTCCGTCTCTGGGTAACAAGAATATGAGAGAAAGTGGGAATCAGGGGAAAATAGGCCTTCGCATAATTATCACTGAATAAAAAGATGTTCATTTCTATTTCTTGTGAGCATTTCAAGTCTGAGTGATGCCTGTATTGGAGTTTGTATATAACTTTGTAACGCCCCTTAGTTTCAGGGCAATTTCTGTTCTTCCTGCTGTCATCCCATGGGATCTGCTCCCCTCCTGTCAGCGGGCGGGCTAGCGGGACGTGTGAGGTGTGAGGGTGTCTGATCAGTCCTGAGTTCAGAGAAGTAGCTTGTTTGTCACTACTTGGTAGAGAAAACAACCGGGTAGAGACCCCAGAGGAACCGGGCTTCCTATGGCTACTGGGTCAGGGGGCGGAGGGGGTGGTAGTGAGCAAGTTCCCCAAGTGAGACTTTGCAGTCAGGTCAGCCCCATCCCTGCTGACGTGCCCTGCCCTGGCAGGGCGACTTACTCAGTTTCCCTGACTGCGAAACAGGACTGAACCCCGCTTCATCCATGTTGTTCTCGGGGCTCCATCCTGAGCCTCCCACGGGAGTCCCCACAGCCAGGGGGACACGGTGCTCTGTCCTCTGAGTTGCTACTTAACCTAGGAGTGGGGACTTGGTTGTGTGTAAAGTATCACACTCATGTTAAGGAGATCAAAAAACAAACACTGAGTAGTGAAATAAAATGTCTGGGCTGGGGAAGCAGCTGGAAGAGTGAGCCCGTTAGGAAGGCAGCCTCTTGGGCCTCAGCCCAGACCCTAGAACACACAATGTACATTTCACAAGGTCCCCAGGAGATTGCAGGAATAAGGCAGTTTGAGAAAGGCTGTGGCTGGACCTTGCGGCCCTGAGCAGTTACAGCAGGCCCAGGAAGTGGGAGCTGAAGCAATTGTCCAGCATGGACCTCAGCTGCTCCTCTTCCGCAGGCCCCTCCTCAGGGCCTCTGTCCCCTCCCCTAGCTGGACTCTTGAAAGCTGTCCCCCCAGGTGTCCTCAGGAACAGCCGTCCAGGCCCCGAAGATGAGGCCCTCCAAACTGTCCACCGCGCTTCTCGTCCTCCTGACCACAGTGCTGACCATCATGCAGGGTGCTGGAGCCCAAACCCCTAAGTTTGGTAAGTGCTGACTCCCCTCTGCAGCTGGGGCTGAAAGCGAGGGGAGTGTGAACAACTGGCGAGAGATCAGGGGCTCCCAAGACACCCTCCCCACAGCAGGACTGATGGGCACGCAAGAGGGGACCACAGACCCCAGAGGAATGAGGGCTGTTAGTTATCGGTCAGTTGTAAGCAACAGCACTCAGGAACAGCTGCCCGAGAACTGACCGGGGAAGTGAGGCTCCCAGGTCCTCTCCAGGTCTCCTCCCCAGGAGCTGGGAACCCCCAGGTCTCCATTGTTCCCCAACTGGGAGCTCTTTGTAGCCTTCGGGGTCTTTCCGGAGGCTTCAACTCATACATAAGCGGGTGGATTCACTCACTGGCTAGCTGCGGTGTCTCTCCTCCCGGGCAGAGAATGGATGTCCCAACCCTCTCAGGAGTGTGGTTCATCCAGCTTGGGCCGTTAGCCTCCTGCAGAGTGGGCCTCACCTGTATCCTCCAGTGCCCCTGTGTATTTTTTAAATTAACTTCAGTCCATGGTTGTGCCAGTCAATTCATTAAAGATAACTACTGGTGCATTATCAGGGTCATTGACACACCCAAGGCAATGAAGGGTGATGGGCAGGGAGGCCCAGGAGATCGCACACTTCATGAGCTTTCCCAGGGCATCTGCATTTAGCACCCCCAAGCCTCTCCTTCCAGGCATGCGGTCTGCAGTGGATCAGCGTGCACCCCAGTAACGGTCCATCCTCTGCTTCCTCAGCTCCGCCTGCCTTCTGCCTGGAGCCCCCCTTCACCGGTCCCTGCAAGGCCAGGATGATCAGGTGGTTCTTCAACGCCAGCTCAGGTGTCTGTGAACACTTTGTGTTTGGAGGGTGCAGGGGTAGGAGGAATAACTTCCGGGCTGAGGAGCGGTGTAACAGCCTGTGTGCTAAGAATGAGGTGAAAAGCACAGCGGGACCAGAAGACAGAGTAGGGGGCGCAGCACAAGGGCCAGGAGAGCGGCCCCCTGGGCCAGAGAAGCTGGTACCTGCTAGTGAAGAACCAGCACCCCTAGCGGAGAACGCACCCGAGGGAGAGGAAGCAGCACCCGAAGTGGGGAGCGCACCCGAGGGAGAGGAAGCAGCGCTCCAGGAGCAATCCCCTGAGGAACCAGCACCCGAGGAGTAACCAGGTAGGGGACAGGCAGGGAGGGGAAGGGCCCAGGACTGGGGGACCTCGGAGCTTCGCACCTTCACCCCTGCGGCGTCCCCCTGGCTGCCGCCTGGGGAGTGCCCGGCACTGCCGCCCCGCAGGCCCCCTCCCTGGGAGCCCGGGGCCCAGGCAGCAGCCGCCCGCTGTTTGCTGTTTCTGGCCACGACCTCTGGCATGTGGCCGCTCTCTGGCCAGGAGACCGCGGGGTGGCCGTCCTGCCAGCAGGTGCACTGCCCGAGTC